CGAATTTAGCCTCAACGTGCGGGGTGATATCCTGGTAGAAATCGTCGGTCTGGATCTCATAGGCCAAGCTGTCGGTGTCAGTGAAGAGCAGCCGGGCCTTACTGCCGTAGGTCTTCCTCACGAATCCGTAGTGGAAGTCGTACATCAGGAGCTTCGAGATATCTAAGATGCAGGCTCCAAGGTAGATCGGCTTATCAAACTTCAGCTTGGTCTTCTTCATGTGGACGGCTGCTAGATTCTCGGTGAAGACGACGCGGCGATCGAAGTTGGGCTTGGCCACGAGCTTCAGGGCCTGCTTCTCGGTGGTGACCAGCCTAACGTCTACCCGCTTTCGGATATTCTCAATGGTCTTGCCAAAGACGGAGTTGACCATCAGCTTGAAGAAGTCTTTTTCGGAGTCGGTCTTGGCCTTGGCGCGAAGAGCAGTATTCAGATCCACGTAGTGCTTGAGCCATGGGGATTGTCTGAATCTGATGATACGACGGCATTTCGTAAGCTTCATCCCCATCTCCAGATACATCTTGAGATTTCTGTAGTGGAGGGTATACTTTTCGCGCTTGCCTAGATGGGGCACAAGCTTACGCACCTTACCGATCTCCACGTTCTCGGGCGCGAGAGGGTAGTCATTGTGGGCGTCGTGAAGATCCTGCGGATATTCGAGATCGCATTCTACCATGGCGCCATATTCGTGGTCGTCAGGATAGCTCAGGATCTCGTCGATCTCCTCCGGCTCCACCCACTCAAAGTCCCCCGTGGGAAGAGGCTGCGCCATCGCCCACCCGTAAAGATTATTGGCATCGGGGTAGGTGAGATACTTGGTGGGCTGGGAGCGATCGTAGGTCTCCATGTAGGGGTTGTTGGCCTTACCTTGACGATGAGAGATCATGGCCACCCCTCCCCTTGTCCCGCTCTCGAACATCATCAGCATATCTGGATCGGAAAGAAGCTCCAATCTAACCCCGGTGGTTTTTAGCATGGCATCGAAGGATAGCCCGGGGGAGGAGAAGTAGTGGACAGGATCGAGTCCATAGTTGGCCATGCAGATATCCCTAAAATTCTCGAAGATGTCGGCTAGCAGTAGCACGTCAGTCTCGAGATAGAGGTCGTGATAATCGCGTAGGGTCTTGCACTCGAAGGTCTCCCAGACTCTCTGAGCGTGTGCGTAATCCTTATCACTGATATGCTCTCCGGAGAGCGTGCTGAAGAAGGCTTCTTTATGTGGGAGCTGAGTCTCTTCCAGCTTGGCTGGTCCATCCATATAATCGTAGGGAAATACCCCCTTCCGAATCATCAGCTCGTGGCGATCGCTGAATCTCGTCTTCACGGTCGCGAATTGGTCGGGGGTGAGATTCTTAGCTAGGGTATCCAGGCTGTTGAGCATAAACCTGCACGAGTCGATGAACCTCATCTCCAGATCACCCACCTGCTTGGAGAAGCTGATGTACTTCTCTTCGGTATTGGGGATGCAGTTGATCTTACCCTCGGTGTGGCCAAGCTCCTTGACGAAGATGTGGGCGTCGTACCCGCTCAAATTATGGAAGAGGATGGGGACGTGCTTCGGAAGCTGGAAATCCAGATTGCACTGGTTGTGCGCTGCGCCGCGATATTTCCCGGTGAGATGGTCGTGGTCCCGGACCTTATCCTCTCCCAATTCGTCTCCGCAAATGTAGCAGTGCGTGCTTTCTGCGAAGCTCACCTTATCGTCGTCAGTCAGCTCCATGGGCTTATTCTCCTTGTATAGCTTGGCGATGGCCTGCACTTCTTCCTCCACGCACTGCACGAATTTCTTTGCCGCATCCTCCCCGCAGTAGACGACCGGATCCTTGTAGTCTCCGTGAGCATATTTCACGTGATAGCAGAAGCCTGAGGGTCGCTGAAGCTGGTAGGCATTCGTGTAGGAGTGGGATGGATCCGGCTGGCAGGTGTCGAGCTTCTCTGTGAAGCACTCGAAATCCGCGTAGATCGCGAAGGGGACTCTCATCATCTTTTTGATACTATGGAAGGCTATGGTGGTCCCCTCTTCCGGCATCTCGATCCTGACTGCATCTTTCTTGCTGCAATATTCCATATGCTCGTCCAAGATATCCTGCCTGGAGAAGTGGGAAAGGCATCTGCGACAGAAGAAAAGCTCATGACCGTGCTCAGAGATTTGAGAGCTCAAGAGTCGTGAGAGGCTCTTGATCCAGCAGTAATGCTGCTTACCTTCGCGAGTCAAGAAGAGGAGATCTACGTGGGTGGGGCCCGTATTCTTAGATATCCTGAGGGGGTAAATCTGAAGATCCTCTTCCTCATCCTCACCCTTCTTTACGCCGTTGAAGCCATAGACGTTGACGTTGATTGCGGGATTCTGCCTCTCAAATTTATCGATCGCCCTGAGCGAGACTGGGAAGTCGATGCCTTCGAATTTTAGCTCTTCTTCCCATTTCTTGTACTGCGATACGCGGTTGGTGGATTTCTGGTCGACTTCCTCATGGTGAAGGGCTGCCAGCACTGCCCACTGGAGGCAGCGATCATCCTCATTTTTCACATTGACGATCGCCTTCTTTTTCACGAGAGCCGATGGGGTTGATATGAAGGAGCCCCCCTTGAGTGGCTTGAATTGGTTGAGGTGGATTTCTAGCTTCTCGACGCTGCTGAATGTCCACCCGCTCCCTTCCCGCATGTACTTTGCCATATTTTCCTTGACCTTCTCCATCATGAAGGCAATCTCCAATTCGAGGTCGTCAGATTCCGTGATCATTGTCGTGCGTGATCTGAAGGTAGGGGTGATGTAGGTATTTTCTCCGGTCGTGAGGTTGGTCTTCACCAGCTCTGCTAGAAGCACTAAGTGCACCTTCAATCCCTTCTTTTGAACGAGTACATTCGAGATGGCGCTGGTGATGGTGCTCCGACTTACCTTCAGAAAAGTGGTCATATCGTGCGGCTTCGCGGGTTCGATGACGACCGTGCCAAATACGCCATTCAGAGCTTCCCGCCTATCGATGACCTTGATCTCATCCTCGACTGGAGCGTTTTTGATGTCCTCTTCCACCAGCTGGATCAGATCGTCTCTCTTGAGTTGAGAGTACTTGGTGAGGCCACGATTCTTTGCTAGTGCTTTGAGCTGCTTCTTGCTGAAGACTTCCTGGCGGACAAATTTATGGGTGGTTTTCTCCTCGATGAGCTTCACCAAGGCCTCCTTGTTCTTCCTACTGACCCCCCTCAGACCCTCATCTTTAGCTATTTGACGGAGGGTCTTCATGGTCTCTTTTACCACCATCTTACCCTCGACTGGGATGGTCTCCTCCTCCTCCTGCTGGCGTGGTTGCTTGCTATGTCTCCAGCAGAGACCATCCTTCCCAGGCTTGCTCTTGCAGAACTGACCCTTCTTCCTCTTGAGCGGAACATTGCAAGTGGTCTTTTGCTCCCCTGGTTGATGATGCTCAAATCGCAACTTGGTGGATTGTGAACCGCATTTTTGACACTGCTCGGTATGCTCATCCATCTGCACTATGTTTGGAGCATTGCAGCACTGCTGCTGCCTTTGGGGGGTTGGGGTGCTATCCTCCAAATCTTCTTCATTCTCCAGAAAGAAATCCATCATATTTCTTTCGGATGTCATATCTTTATTTATTTTAATCTGTGACATCCTTCCCTTTAAGGTATCCTTATCCCCACTATCCTCTGGAGCGACTTTTCTACCATCGAATACATATGCCATTCTTGTATTTACCCTATGCTCAATAGGGATGCCGTCCGTTTGCATTTGGCCGTCGGGGCTGGGGGTCCTATGCAGGATTTCCCCTTGAAAATGTGATTGCGGCAGAATCGGCCTTTTCATACTACTCCGGAGAGAATCGCCGACCTTCGGTAGAAAAACTTCCAATCCTAGTCAATTAAGATTGGAGTCGAGCGCACCTGGCACGTGCGGGATTTGAACTCACAACCTCAATGTTGACTGGCTAATGATACAATAGTTTGACTACTTAGACCACTCGGCCACCGAGGCCCCTTAATAAAAATAAGGAGATGTGGTATGATTGCCACTGAGACAACTATCCACCAAACTTCTAATGAAGTGGATGGAAGCAATAGTAGGCAACCGTACGGCCTTCGGCAATAAGAAAACCCATACCGTATAGTCGGCTATTAAAGACTCACGACATGAAAAATATGAAACAATTCAATTGAGAAAACTAACGGCCTAATCTCTTACAAAACGATTTACGAAAAACAAATACGACAGACAAACCAACGATAACCACTGAACTACAGGCTCCTGGCTTGGGACAGGCACATAAAGAATGTGGCTTGGTTAAACATGTTTGTGAGCGCTTAACCTAGGACAGTGCTGTCACAGCACAACACAAGAACAAACTATAAAAATCAGTTGAAATAGGCTTAACTCAACAGATCGATACAAAGCAGAAAAACATCTAACAAAAACACAGACCGGACGTGGCAGGGTATTTATACATGCATCCCTTACAACAAAAAAGACACAAATTACAGATCTGAGAGTACTAGCAGTTACTGGCAGCTAGTTGTTAACTTTCGCCAGTTACACTTAATATCAAAATTCGAAAAGCAGAAATCGCAAAACGTTTGAGAGCGTAAAACCACAAGGAACTTAACACAACATTCAATACCATTTAAGTTAACTTTACTGAAAGAACTTAAATTTTTCGTAAATCTAATGAATGTGCCCAAAATCATTTGAACCCTTATCAAACCACAACAGCAAATATCCAAACAAGACGGGTGTTGCCTTTTATTCAGGATTGCACCCCCCTACGGAAAACTTTAATTCGAACCATTGTTTCAGGTAGACATGGTAGGGTTCGTGTTCCCCATTCAAAAGGTTTTCGTTTGTATTTGTAGACTGTTGTTTGTCCATGCGTCTTCTTTTTCTGGTTATGGTGTTGTCTAAGCTTTTCTAATTCTAATTTGTGTTTGCTTCTTTTGATTTTTTTTCTTTCTTATAATATTAATATTGGCAATAAGATATAGTGGTTTCATACCTTTCAAATCCTCAGGGAAAAAGCCTGAACCTTTACATACATCACAGATAGTTGGCGATGGAGGAAAATTTTCTGAAATATTTTGTTAATAATACAACATAATCGATATAAAAACTATTAATAAAACGTGGAATAGTCAATTGATGAAGTACCTACTAAGATATACAAAACGAAGCATTTGCCTTAGATAATCACGCTCAAATGACAAAGATTTGGTAATACTTATATTGCATAATTTGAATTAACATGTACTGCTTACTTGGCCGTCCAGCAGCAGCTGTAAATACCAAGTAGTGGTAATAGAAATATGCGATTGCAATTTTAGTTCGAATGATACGTGCATCGGGAATTCACTTCATTTGTTCAGCTCGAGAAAAAAGTAAAATAACGAAAAATACCGAACTCCAAGTATTCCGAGACTAAAAGTTTCGAATGGCAATAACACATAACTTGTATGCGAAAATATACAGCAATTCCACATATATAGTACAGACTGCAAACCATGATGGAGTCAGAACTTAAGTTTTAGTTTAAAGATTTGTAATCTGAAAATTAGGTCAAAATGTTTTATTTAATGAATATAACGCTCTATACATTTGGTGCATTCGTAGCGCTTTTAAGAATTTATCTTTATCAAAACAACTCAATTAAATAATGCCGATTCTAAATTATTGTCCTCTAGATGGATGGACGGTACTCCTAGGGACAGGCAGTCCATCAGCAGCGGTAACAACCAAACGATATACATATAGTTATAAACGTATATTTCTAACTTAAGTGCAAAATGATATCCCTGGAATAACCTTTATCATGTATGATCTTGAGTCCAAAAGTCTGGAAATGCAAATACATGAAAACTAGTGGGAGCATTGCAACAAGTACAGCCAAAACCGATAATTTAGATGCAACCAAAGTAACCTACATATTTCATATACTTAAATTTTGTTATAAATCGATAATAATTGATTTTTCTATATCCACAAACTCATGGGGAGATTGTAATTTTGCAATTATGTCTGATGACTACTTTAAATGATGCAAAATGATAGTGAAAATGTTTAGAACATAATGTACATCACGGCTGTATGCAATGCGTGTGTTTTTGGGTATTTTGTCCAATACACATGACTTACTTACCCCAGGGTGTAATGTAATATAGAAAGGCGTCATAGTTTGTATCAAGGAGCATATCCTTTGCACAACTGTATTGCCATTTATTATCCATACGTCGCCTGTAAGTAAACAAGAAAAACAATAAAAGAAAATGGAAAATATGTGTATATATTGTAAGATAACTTAATTAACATCTAATCTTGTTCTGTTTTGTTCATATTGGTGTTTTTCGTTTCGTCACGCCCGTTTCTAACTTTATTGTCTCTCCATCTTAGTATAATTCTGGTGTATTTAAATGTCTTAAGAAGATTTTGTGTCTTAAGACATGGCGTAAAGACATATTAATGTACGCCTTTAATTCATTTCTAAATACACACAACTGTCTAAAGACATTTCAAGATAAAAATGAGCCATCTTTTAAAATAAGTGAGCATATGTTATACACATGTACAACGACGAATATAACAGTTGAAGCCTGTTCTCATTAATACATTTAATAAATCGGTCTCGTGATATCTGCTTTTAACAAAAATGTTAACACTGAAATATTTACATTGCGCTCAGCTTTTGCATTTGCTAGAAAATACAGCAACATATGGAACAAAGACAACGTGTAATTTACAGATCATATCTGCATATAAATCATCAATGATAGTTGCTTCAAAGAGTAAACTCGAACACTGAAAAAAATATAAGTCGACGAATAACCGACAATACCTTTAAAAGAAAATAAACGTAAAACAACAAAAAGACAAACAACAGTACATGAGGCACCTATCAAGTTTATCATATTTCAAGTGTAAAATCGTTAATAAGTCTCAATTGGTGGTGTCACAATAGAAGAAAGGGGTACTGGATTGTGGTTACGAAATTTTAAATATATCAGTTGTCATTTGTGTTGTCGTCCGTAAAACTTTCCAGCTCTACCATGTCTACCGCTATCAATAGTTGAAACAGTTTGTTCTGACAGATGGATGAAGTATGAATCCGGATTATGATATTTCAATAACAATGTACATGCAAGGTAAAAGTAAGTTTCCTCATTGTCCAAGTGAGTGTGAAATTTTAGTTTGAGAGATGATTATATGATTTGATTGGTTTGTGTATTTGCTGTACGGTTGAGTTTGATTGATTTTAACAGTGACCTTGACCTATGTTATGGTACGGTATTATCAAAAATGACGTAAACACATTAAATTAATGTAAACAAGTCAGATGATATTATGTTTTTTTTATAAATGATAGTACCTTTCTGTAAAGACTCATTTGCCAGTGTTTAAAAGAATCTTGGGATTAACTCCCCTGATTATGAACATTCATGAAGTTAAAAAGGTATATTGATGATAAATGATAACTCATTTATACTATGTTCAAAGGCATCAATTTGTTTGAAGTTGATGTTTATTGTTTGTAAATCTACGTTCTGATATTTTCCAACCGCATACCGTGTATAGAATTAAAGATGATAGCATGTATTCAGTCTGGTCGTTTAATAGATTGTTCTTCTGCTGTAAATGAACGTCTTTAACCCCAGTAGAGTCATAGAATAACAGTACAATAACGGATGGTACAAGGACACTCTTTAAGTTGTACTTATCGCCTCGGACTTGACATGAGTACTCGTGCAGAAAAACTATACGGCAACAGTTGTCACCAGCCTGTTATTTGTTACCTTTGTTCTGTGTCTAATACTTACCATAAAGGACAACATGTCGGATGTATTAAATATATAAGAACATGTAAACTCTAAAGATATTAAAAGTGTAATGTTTCAGGGGCGGATCCAGCCATTTTTAAAAGGGGGGATTCCAACCCAGGAAAAAGGGGGGGGGGGGGGGGGGGGGTTCCAACCATATGTTCCCATTCAAATGCATTGATCGGCCAAAAAAAAACCCTGAACACCCCCAGCCCCTCCTGGATCCGCCACTGTGTTTAATACTTTATCATACTGAATTGTATCGTGTTTATTTTAACACTTTAACCAATGTTAATTTGTTATTCCAGGGTTTCTGTATATAATTGTAAGATGAATGAAATTCAATGTGATGTACAATTGATGACTAAAGAACCCTTGAACTCAGATGACTTAATTGTATTTGAATGATGAATCAGAAAATTATACTTTTACACATATAACATCAGTATTAGTTAACTTCCAAAAATTTAATCTTACCTCAAAGCATAGAATTCTCCTGCGCGAGCATAACAGTATCCTGTATATACAGTTCCGGTACTGGTGAAGGTCAAGTTATAACCAGTTGGATCGTCGGCAAGGAACTCAGAAAGTATGTCTGGAAATAGTTTGGACTTGTAGCTTCTACCTCGGAGGTTACACGGGAAGCTACAGAATCCACTTGCTATAGCTGTAAATATAGACCACGTCATCGGTTGTGTTGCGTATCATTTGAGGATAACAATTGATGTGAACCGAAGGTAAAACTATGGCAACCAGTATAGTTTTAGGAATTTCCAAAAACTAATATGATGTGTATTTGAAAAATAGGTTAAAACAGACCAAATGAGGCTTTTGTAAGACAACGACGGGTGCCACAAGTTGAGCAGGATCTGCTTACCCTTCCGCACCTTAGATCACCACTTTTTTTTCAACATTCGATTTTAACATTCAACAAACGTTTTTTAACATTCAAGATTCAATTTTTTCATTTTTTTGGTGTTTTTTTTTTCATTTTTATACGACCGCAAAAAAATTTTGCGGTCGTATATTGGTATGATGTTGGCGTCGTCGTCGTGGTCGTCCGAAGACACATTAGTTTTCGCACAATAACTTTAGTTTAAGTGAATGGATCTCTATGAAATTTTACCATAAGGTTCAATACCACAAAAGGAAGGTTGGGATTGATTTTGGGGGTTATGGTACCAACAGTTAAGGAATTAGGGGCAAAAAAAGGGGCCAACAATAAGCATTTTTGTAACTTCCAGACAATAATTTCAGTTTAAGTGTATGGATCTCTCTAAAATTATACCACAAATTTCCATATCACAAAGGGATGGTTAGGATTGGCTTTGGGGGTTATGGCTCAAACCGTTTAGGAATTAGGGGCAGAAAGGGGGAAAAACAAGGTTTCCTGGTTAATGGACAATTTAAAAGCAGTGTAAGGGAGGTAATAAAAAACTCTACACATTTTTTTTTTGCAAAAAAAAAAAGGGGGGGAGGGGGTCAATACGCAACAGCATAGTGTATTGCATAAAAGCCCCCAAAAATGGGTTAATTTTTTTTTGGGGGGTGGGGGGGGGGGGGGGAGGGATGTCAATTCGCACAGGCACAGTGTATTGCACAAAAGCAAAAAATTGAATAGAAATTCAAATCATATAACCAATTCTAAGTTCTTTGACTACAGTTATTCTGTGTCAGAAACCTATTATGTGTCAAATATTTAATTACAATCCAAATTCAGACCTGTATCAAGCGCGAATATTGTGTCCATTTTTGCCCCATCTGTTCAGGGTTTGACCTCTGCGGTCGTATCCAGCTGCGCCCGGCGAAGCAATTTATTACCATTTGATTTCAACATATAAAATTCGTTTTAAAAAACATTCAACATTCGTACTTAGACGTCATCTAGGAAATAAAACATGAAGGATTCAGAGACTGTCACTTGAATAGAAGAGCCATTATTACGAATTCGAACAAACGACCTCTTGCACTCGAGGCGAACACGCTACCACGTGACCACCGAGGCGGTGATTTTGAAAACGAACGTTGAATGTTGACTCGAATGTTCAAAAAAAGTAAAATAAAAATAAGATACGAAAAAAAAATATGTTGAATGTTGAATGTTGAAATGGAATGTTGAATGTTGAAAACGAATGTTGAAAAAAAAAATTGAAAAAAGAAAAATGTGTAAGAAATCCTCGCTAAAAATTCCGGTCTACCTCCTACGGCACTCATTAGTAGCTAAAGATTTGATTTTCATTCAACAAATTAATTTATGACCTTCATGTACGTTTCGCTTAGAACACGGATATATACCAAATGGTCAATATTAATCATCCATGTAATTTGCTCTAAGGGGTGTTTGCAGAATTTAAACGGAGGCAATTTCTTGGCATGTTTTTGAATGTTGAATGTTAAATTGAATCAACTTGACATCCGTATCACATTCTTGGTAATTGGCTATTCGCACTTATGATGAAATAAACATCTTCATACTTATATCAATCTAATTCAGATACCTTTATACTTTTGTTATAGCGAAGAAATTATTAAAATTTCACTTTATGACATTGATTCGCAATAGCAAATTAAGATAAAATGTACTTACCACCCGTTATCATGCAGATAAAGACGGATATCATGGCAACTTTCATTGCACTAATTTTATCTAAAACAAATAATAAAATATAATAATGACCAACTACGTGTATAAAGTTCGATATAAATAAGTGAATTTGATATTAATACGTTTTTGATAAAATTATTTCCTCTATAGAAGTTATAAACATATGTGTGTCATTAAATAAATTGAATGTGTTTATGAACGTTTCTATCTGAGAATTCGACTTAAAATAAAGGGTGTTAATAACACGAATGATACGTGTATTTCAATATGAATATAATTAAGTGTTTTTCAATGAGAAAAACTGCACCAAAGGTCAAAGGACAAGGATGTAAATAACTATAGGTCACTTCAACAACGAAAAAAAACCATACCGTTTTACAGTACGGCTTAACAAAAAAAAAAGCTCTGGATAACAAATTGGAAAGTAAAACGTGTGTAAATATCTATACAATATTTCTTCTATAAAGATCGCCAAATCTTTAGTATTTCTAACATACTGATGGTGGAACAACTTTGTATATCAAAATTACAATGTAATTATCTGTATAGAAGTTTTAGTTCTAACTTAAGTAGCTTAAATTGTCTTTAAGTACAAAGTACCTGCATGATATACCATCAAATAACCACAGGTACTCAGTTAGCAGATTAACATTTTGTTAATCTTTTTTTGTTCAATTTCTTTGCATTTCCTGTCTATTTGTGTTACATTATTAACGTATTTAACGTTCACGTCAATATTTCTTTATTTTCTAGCAATGTACAGTTTACTATCTATATCCGTTTAATAAAAAATCCTTTTGATAATGTAATACAAATAGGCAAAACATACAAAAAAAAAAATGAAAAACATTGATTAACAAAAATTTTAATCTGCTAACCGAGTCCCTGTGCAAAGAAATTAATTATAACTGATAATCATTACTGTTCTTTTCTATTCGGTAACTTAAAGTTGTCGTTCTGTTTGCAGAATTATTTTAATTCAACTTATCGTTCACTTTCAATATTGATATGTCATATTTTTGTTGACACATTCACTTTTTCAGTGATTTAAATGGTTTCATTCAATGCCACATTTTCATACAGAGTCATACAAATCAGGGATAGTCATGCTATAAATTGCTCAAAACGTCAACTTATTTTTTCTTTCTTAATCTCTTCCTGTTGAAGTATGTTTCAACTTAATAAAAATTAGTATTTCACGCCCAGCTTTTAACAGTAATATTATTAATGGAGCAAAGAAATTCTCCATCAAATCCTTTTATTTTTGTTAAATTCACTTGTTGATCACTAAGTCTCATTTTACATTTCGAAACACAACTATAAAAACTAGTAGAATTTACTTTTTTTGTTTCTGCATTTAATTTTTATTTTTGCACCATTTTGAATATTTTTTCTGACAGTACTAGCAGTTACTGGAAGCTAGTTCAAAACCCATCACACCTAATAAATACGAGAATGAGGTTCTCTCCGACTAAAGTATTAATCATTTCACATTAAACAGATTTAGTGTAAAGACGTCGTAATAATATTCTGTTTAGGTCCTGTTGGTTTTTAGGATCCCAACGATTTTTGTTTTGCCTCACAAAATTATTGTTTTCCGATGGAGTTTAATCAAGGAATATGTAAAATCTATGTTAATTATTTTTATTTAATTCTTTTAACTTAAAAAAATCCTACAAACATTTCGAAAAGACATTTGAAAATATGAAACATCTGCTAGGGAACATCCTTTAGTGACTTGGCTTTGATTTATATCTTTAAAAATTACATATCAATTTATGATTAAACTAAAACTAAAACAACATCACTTTATTTAGAAATGAAGCATTACATTTTTACTAAAATATTTGAATGAATGTTTTATGTCAGTGGCAGATCAAGAAATAAAAAAAGGGAGAGGTCCACTTAGAAATAAGGCGAAGAGATCAGGAGTCCAAAATCTTATAAATAATGTTCCACCATAAGGTCCCCTGGCACCAACCACCTGGATCCGCCAAATTCTATCTTACAATCCAGAAAAGCGCATGAAATTTATAACGTGTTGTTTTCATTTTTTTCATAATAAAGGAAGAATAAAATTGATACTTCAAATATGCAGTGCTTTTTTCCAGAATGACCAAGACTTATCCTCAAATACGACTTACAAACTAAATAGCAACTTGTTCAGCTTTCTGTGTAGTGTTATGTAGAATTTTATCTTTCGTTCTTGCAAAGTTAACATTGCACTACCTCCACTGAAAGTCAAAATCGTACATCGGCATGTCTCAACAACATATATAACATGGTATATTAAGTTATCCTTTTCAAAGCTTCAGATGATTAACAAAAAGCTGCAAATTATTAACATACAACATTCCCAAAATATGTAGACTTCCTAACTCATACCAGATACCTCCGATCTTTATCTGTGTCCTATGAACTAGAAATATTTCTAACTATCCTTAGGCCACTTTTGTGCAGACTTATGGTGTAATTATCGTAAGGTTACTTTTTACAAAACCTATGCTTTAACTATCGTTAGGCCACTTTTCTACCGACCCATGCTTTCACTATCGTTAGGCCACTTTTCTGCAGACTTATGCTCTATCGTTAGGCCACTTTTGTAATATTTCCACATGAGTGGTATTCACTATATCAGGAATGTTAATAGTTCGTTGAAGTCCTTTTGTATACGGTTGTCTCTATTCACAGTATATATTTTCCCACTCTTTATACGACACTGCCATATCAACATATTTAAGAACAGACAGGATAAAGTATGGAAAGGCCATTTTTTGCCAACTGAATTCGAAAATTAAATAGCATTATAAATCTGCAAAATTAATATACTTCCGACGTTTATAAAACATATCAGATTATAGCCTTTATGTTCCTTAATTTTGTCTCACATATTGACATTAGGGCTTGAAACTCTTTGCATTTAGTGCATATCTGCAAAAACTGTCAAAATGTCCTCGTTTTGAGATCTTGTCTTGAGTATTTAGATATGAGCCTAAGCTTTACCCAACAAGTTAGTTTGCTGTTGAAGGCTAAATTATTTGTCATAAAGTTGTGCGTGAAATTGTCTTTTTATGCCAAATCCATTCATTTTGAAAGATTTTAACGTTTTTATGCCAAATTCATTCATTTCGAACGATTTAAACGTGTAACTATATTCAATGTATAAAATCAACTACAATGTTAGTACAAACTTTAACAAAGTTGACAAGAAAACAACTCATAGTTTTGTTTAACATGTTATAATGGAAGAATTCCAAACTAGAAAGTGAGAGAAAAGAGTGTGAATAGGAGAGAAGAAGAGAGAATAGTCAGTGAGACATTTCGTAAAACGCGAGTGACAGGATGAATGAATATGGTGGAAGTGAGTAATTGAGAAGAAATAGTGAATGAGTGAGAGAAGAGAGAGAGAGACAGAGAATGAATTAGTGCCCGGGTGCGAATGGTCGAGAGAAGAGTTAGCGAGTACAGACAAGAGCTGGGTGAGAGCAGAACGAGTGTTTGCGAACGAGAGATGAGACGAAGAAAGAGTAGACGATAGGAGAGATTGCAACTGAGTGAGTCAACGAGAAAGTATGTTAGTAAAGGAACAACTGACTAAACCTGAGTGAGTGAAGGGAGAATGAGACTGAGAGAATCGGTGAATGAGAGTGGGTGAACGAGAATCCGAGTGAGTGAAAGATGTTCAGAGGGTATATCGGGTGTTTTTTTCTGAGCATCCCTTTGTCTTTTGGTTTCTTCCGCCTCTCTTTTAAATTTAAAGATCGACATATTGTATCGACTCAAATCCCTTGGTAGTTGGTTTGACTATAGTGGATGGAATAGTAAATGCCCAGGTTCATCACCTGGTACAGCAGTTTCATTCCTGAAGGCGTCTCATGTTACAAAAACACGTTAAGCACACCAAGTTACACCAAGTTACATCATGTACACTGTACCTCTTATTGTCAAAAACAAAGATTCTTTGAATGATGATGAGGTAATCCTAGAATTCGAAAAATGGAGTTTGGAAAGATCAAAAGAATCTCCTTATATTTAATTCTGGAATGTTATCCTGCAATTTGAATAGACAGTATAGATACATGAGGCTGACGCTTTGTCAACGACGAACAACGTCTGTCTTTGATATAATCAATAGGAATAAGTTACCACTTTTTTAAACACCACCTCCAAAGAAAACTTCGACTTTCGAATGTTCCAGGAAACTGGCAAGAATTCTTGCGTCAAGATGATGTTAAAGTTGAGGACTCTCATTTGCTTGCTCATAAAAAAATTAAAACTCACTGGCATAGAAAATAAGATCGTAGTAAATGACAAGGACAACACCATTGAAAATACTGCAGAATACAGCTATGAATAATTGAGCACATGCTCCCATGAGCAGACAGATACCAGAATGCTGTTGCATGCCTTAGATGGTACCTAGAAAGGTCACGACAGAACATTGATCTGAACTGTTGATACGGATGATGTGGTATTGTTTTTGTCTTGTTTCAACAGACTGCAGATTGAACAGTTGTGGATAGTTTTGGCATTGGAAAGAACTTCCGATATATTTCAGTTCATAGAGTATGCCTTGCTCTAGGACCTTTAAAATCGAAAGTCTTATTTCTGTCCCATGCCTTCAGTGGTGCGACACAGTACCAGCTATTTCTGGTAAGGGTAAGAAATCAGCTTTGGACACGTGGTCCGTTTAAGAGGAATTTTCAGAAGCATTTGTGATTATTGAAAATCCTAATGAAGTGGAAATATTAAAATTGATAAAAGGTATAGAACGATATGTTGAGCTTCTTTATGATCGGTCTACTTCATTTAATACAGGGAATTAATTAAGAAAACATCTATACACACAGAAGACAAGAACTATTGACTATATTCCTCCAACACGAGATGCACTACTACAACATACGAAACGTGTAGCTTACTTAGGTAGTGTTATTTAGGAAAAATTATTTACAAATCCTGATATGAGGTCACCAGATTTATCTGGTTGACAAAAACTTGATGGTACGTGGGTACCATTTTGGTCAGGGCTTGCAGAAGCTACAATGTCATGTCAAGAGCTCATCCACG